TAATTTGGAGAAGTCTCTAACTTCAGACTTGCCCAGTGTATACATCTGATTTCCTGACTGCTGGTACCAAGGGTGCTTGTTAATTGTGGATCCAAGTAAGATGAAGTTGTTGGTAGTTTCAATTTCCTCTCCATTCATCATGATATTGCCTGTTGGTCCAGTGTTAAGAATCTTTGTTTTCTTGACATTGAATTGGAACCCATATTAAAGGCTGTGTTCCTTGATCTTCTGCAATAAGTACAATTCCTCCTCACTTTCAGCAAGCAAGGTTATATAATCTGTGTAACACAGGATATTGATGAGTCTCCCTCCAATCCTAATGCCACATTCCTCTTCATAGAGTCCAGCTTTTTGAACATTTTGCTCAGTGTACAGATTTAATAAGTATGGAGAGAAGATAGAACCCTGGTGTACTTCCTTCTTAATTTTAAACCAAGCAGTTTTTCTCTGCTATGTTGGCACAACAGCCTCCTGGTCCAGGTATAGGTTCCACATGAGCACAATCTGGGATTCCCATTCTTCTCAATGTCAGCCACAACTTGTCCTGATCCACACAGACACCCTTGCATAGTCAGTAAAGCTCAAGTAGACATTCTTCTGGTATTCTCTACTTCTAACCAGGATCCATCTGACATCAGCAATGATATCCCTGGTGCCATGGCCTCTTTTAAATCCTGCCTGAACTTCTGGCAGTTCCCTATCTATATACTGTTCGAGCCATTTTGAAATGGTCTTTAGCAGTATTTCGCTTGTTATGTTGTATTAATGATATTATTGTTCAATAGTTTCCACATTCAGTTGGATCACTTTTCTTTTAAATGGGAACAAATATGGATCTCTTCCAATTCGTTGGCCGGTCCGCTATCTTCCAGATTTCCTGGCATAGACTATGAGCATATCCAAGGCTGCATTTAATTGAAACAAGTCACTAAGCATCCCTTCGATTCCTGGGGCCTTATTTTTTTTGCCAGTACTTTCAACGCGGCTTTCACTTCCTCCTTCATTACCATTGGCTCCTGCTTATATATTTCCGGAAATTTTTCAGTGTTAGTCAGTTCATTTTGGTACAGTGATTCTGCGTATTCCTTCCATTTTCTTTTGATGCTTTCTGGGTCTTTCAGTATATTGCTCATTGCATCTTTCAGTATTGTGACTTGAGGTTTAAATTTGTTTTTAGTTCTCTCAGCTTGAGAAATGCAGAGCAAGTGCTTCCCTTTTTATTCTCCAATTCCTGTTCTTTGCATAGTACATTATAATACTTTGCTTTGTCTTCTAGAGCTGCCCTTTGAAATCTTCTATTCAGCTCTTTTAACTTAGAATGTTTTCCCTTTGTTTTGGCTTCTCAGTGCTCTAGGGCAATTTTCAGAGTCTCTTCTGATTTCCGTATCAGGGTTTTTTTTTTCTTTCTCTCCTGTGTCTTCGTAATGACCTTTTGCTCTCTCCATGAATGGTATCTGTGATATTAACCCACCACTCATCTGGTCTCTGGTCTTTGATGATTCGTGTTCAATGCTTCAAACCTATACGTATGATGATCTTGAAATTCACATGGACTAGATTTAAGGTCTTATCTTGGTTCTTGGACCTTTTTTTTTTTAACAGGAAAGACTTCTTTTCATTTTTAAAAAAACAGCGTTTTCATGTGCAAGGAGATATGACCTGAGCTGTGAATGTAGACTCACTCTCATTGATGGAGAGACTTAAAACGAGTCGACCTTGAAAGTCTGAGGTTCTTGTGGACTTTAAAAAATTTTTTTCAACCTCAGTTTTAACTGTTGTGCATAGGGTTTTCAGAGGCCCTATGCACAACAGAACACACGCAGATTAACAAAAAGGGCAACCTAGGTAGAACTGTCAAGTATGGAAACACAAAGGAGGAGGAACAGTTGTAAGCAGACCCTAGTGATTGGTACATGGAATGTGAGAGCCATGAATGAAGGAAAATTAGAAATTGTTAAGAAAG